CGGTCCAGGCGAATCGAGGGGGAGCAAAGGGGTGCGCCCGCCGCCTAGCTCAGTGTACGGCCGTTCCTCCCTTCCGCGCGGGCTCCCAGGACACTGTAATCCTGGGCCTGGTGGTCTGAACGTGGGTATCTCGGGAGCCCCTGCAGCCGGCTGGAAAGCGGAGAGCCGCACGTGAGCGTCCCCCCCTCCGGCAGGCGGCACAATAGTGCGGTCCCCGCCTCGCCCGGCGTAAGGCAAGCGAGAAGGGACACACTTCTCCGGGCTCGCAAAGCGAAGCGGAGGGGATCGGACCTTGGGGTTCGGTGACAGAGGCTTTCCAGGATCCCCGAGAGGCGAAGAGCGATCCGTGAGCTTTAAAGGAGAAAGAGCCCCCCGAGAACAGTAGGATGTGAAGAGTCGGAGCCCCAAGGAAATGCACTCTGATGACAACCTCGGGAGAGGCGAAGATGTGCCGGCCGCTCGTCCCTAGCACGGAGACTTAGCCACGAAGACCCCCCTTAATCACAACCCTTCCCGGGGAGACACCGCGGTCCCCCGACCCTGCCGCGGGGCGAGGGCTCTGACCGCCGTTTGGGTTTGGAGGCCCCTGTGAAGCTCCTGCCACCTCCGCAGTCTCCGCAGAAGGTGAACTGGAGGCGGGAGTCCTTCAACGAGCAGAAGTCAAAGACCGCGGAGAGGAGGACGGGCTTCCAGACGCCGTCGGGATCACTTGTTGAAATACGGGCAGGTGCCAGTGGCCTTGAGGATGTGGGGGAAAGAAGAGAACTGTGTACAAACCCGCTTAGAATACGGAGACGGGTGAGCGTGAAGGGGAAATAGTCCCTCTCGCTACCCCTGTCCAGGAAGAGGAGTGCTGATCTGCAGTTCCCATCGCCCGGCTGGACGGTGAGCACTCCTGCCTTGGTATGAGCCCCACTGCGTTTAAAAAAGAAGAAGGAATGAAATACTGGAAGGAAGTACACCAAAATGTTCGTGGTGGTTAACTGCAGTGTTGTTGTTTTTTTTCATTTTCTGCTTTGGACTTGTGTCTGTGCTCTACAACTTTTTCAAAGTTTTTACCACAGGCATAGATTGCCATCATAACCAGAAAAAAATGAAAAACGTTGACATTTAAACGGCATGTACAATATGACCTCAATTACATAAACATGCATAGAAAAAAAACAGGATGGAAATATGAAAAACTGTTAACAGTGTGTTATTTCTGACAACTACGACATGGTCACCTGTCCTGCTTTGTACTTTCCGGTATTTTGCACCTGGTAAATAGAGAAACAGTTTAGAAATAAATTAGGTCATTCTCTCCCAAATTCATAAGTTATGAGGTTCAAAAATAAGATATTGGGTTCAAAAGCCTTTGGGAACTATAAAGCAAAGGTAATGCACTAATGTTATTATGAAGATGAGTTTCCACTATTTCTCACTCTAAGTTAGCAAATGGCTTTCATACAGCCTCTCTGTACATGGACCCGTTTCTCTACGGCAAGAGCAATATACCAGATCAAGATACCAGAACTGCAAGTCAAACTAGGCCCTGGAATAGAATAATTCCAAACCTACAGGCCCGTCCAGCCTGTCCATAGGATTACTGTTTTGATGATAACAGCAGATAGTAGTGAGAGGCATGATTTCTGTTTCCACAATACCTAAATAAAGAAAAGACCACACTGGTCTCTCTGGAGGTTAAATAGGAAAAGGAGGGCATGACTTCACTAATAAATCTAAATATTCTGAGTTGTCTGTGGATATAGTCTTTGATATTTACATCTAAGTAGTTTCTTTGTGTGAAAATCAGTAGAATTTTTCAAGCAGACCCTATCAGCATTTTCTTATTTCTATTAAGAAATACATGTTGCCCAAACCGGTTTGGCTCAGTGGATAGAGCGTCGGCTTGCGGACTCAAAGGTCCCAGGTTTGATTCCGGTCAAGGGCATGTACTTGGGTTGCGGTCACATCCCCAGTGGGAGATGTGCAGGAGGCAGCTGATCAATGTTCCTCTCTCATCGATGTTTCTAACTCTCTATCTCTCTCCCTTCCTCTCTGTAAAAAATCAATAAAATATATATTTTTAAAAAAAGAAAGACATGTCATCTACATAGTAATTTATAGATACCTAAATAAACTTTTTGATATAGTTTACTGTGAATTTTAATATATTTGAGAAATAAAAAAGACCTTCCTCTAGTGACAAATATTTGCATATTCCTTGAGATTATAAAGGTTTTTCATATATGTTTCCATTCTCATAACAAGCCTGTGAGGAGACTGGAGAAGCTATTATCTCTGTTTATAAATATGAGGGTAGTAGGGCACAAAGATGTTAAATGAATATCACAGTTCAGCAAATAAGAAGGTGGGAATTCAAGCTCAGTTCTGACCACCAATTCAATACTTTAATATATATTGATTGCCTGCTGATACTGAGATGATTAGTCTAATTTTTATACTTCTTTAGTAACATTTTAGTAAATCTGTTACATAAACCTCAAAAAGAATGCACAAGTTCTTATTCCACAAAGACTTTAGTCTTTGGGACAAGCACTATGAATATTTGTGTGGCAGAAAACAAGTGTAAGGTAACTTTCCTTAATCTCTACATAAAAGCCTAAAAGATTTGTTGCTAAAGTAAAATATTATCTGAATTTCACAGGGAAGAAAAGAGTATCATACAATATACATTATGCAAATATTTTACCATTACAAAAGTGACATGATAATGAACAGAGCTAATTGCAATCCTAGGTTTTCATGAGCTACAAATAATAGTGATAAATAGTTACCAGGTAATTACCATTTCAACTATGCAATTAACTCATGTCAGCTTTGCACATATATAAAGAACATTAAAAATAGCTTTTAAAAATAATAAATTCTCTGAAGAAACTTTCAGAATTATAGCTTTTGGGTTTCAGAAATCTTTAGAACAGAGTTTGATTATAAATCAAACAGAGGGAGATGAGGAACCGATGTTGTTTCGAGTACGATGTTGTTCCGCAATGTCCTCATTTCTTTTTTGGTTTTGCCATTTATTACAAAGTTGTAAAAATCTAATGTAAAGTGACTTATCAGCAGAGCTTCTTAATGATGAATGTAAATAAAAACCCCTGGATTTTAAATGAGCCTTTTAGACACAGAAATTCTCTGCACATTTTAAAATTTCCCATTTTGATTTGTATTATTAAATTGTCCTGACATCCTATATAATAAAAGGCTAATTTGAAAATCGACCAAACGATGGAACAACCGGTCGCGAAGACGCACACTGACCACAAGGGGGCAGACACTCAATGCAGGAGCTACCCCCTGGTGGTCAGTCAGTGTGCTCCCACAGGGGGAGCTCCACTCAGCCAGAAGCCAGGCTCACGACTGGCGAGCGCAAAGGTGGTGGCAGGAGCCTCTCCCACCTCCGTGGCAGCACTAAGGATGTCTGACTGATGGTTTAGGCCAGCTCCCTGCATCAGTGGGACATCCCCTGAGGGCTCCCGGACTGCGAGAGGGCACAGGCCAGGCTAAGGGACACACACACACTCACACACACCCCACCAGTGCACCAATGTCATGCACCAGGCCTCTGCTTATAAATATGTACTGAGTATTGAGTATGACTCTTTTACTAATATTTTGTAGATATACACCTTATGCGTGTATAACCTTTTAAACTATACATACAGGTGAAATAAATTAGTCAAAGAAAGACAAAAAATAAACTCTACATACCAAAGAGTGTATGAAAGTATTTTTAGGAAGCACAAGCCTAAGTATTATACTCATGAACCCACTATCCAACCTAAAAACTGGATTGTGACCAACTTTTGTACCAGCCTAGGTATTCTTTTCCCATCCCACCTCCCTGCCTATACTCCACAGGGGGCCACTATCCTGCATTTTATGTTTTATCTTTTCTTATTTTTAAAAATATAAGGTCATCATATGTCTACATTACTAAGTGATATAGTCTTTTAGTTTTGCTGGGTTTTGAGCTTTATAAAAAGGTTGTCTTGCCCTAGCTGGTTTGGCTCAGGGGATAGAGTGTCAGCCTGAGGACTGAAGAGTCCCAGGTTCTATTCCAGTCAAGGGCACATGCCTGGTTGTGGGATCAATCCCCAGTTGGGGGCGTGCAGGAGGCAGCCAATCAGTGATGTTTCTCTCTCATCATTGATGTTTCTCTCTCTCTCTCCCTCTCCCTTCCTCTCTGAAATCAATAAAAATATATTTAAAAGAACGGTTATCTTACAGTATATAATCTT